ATGCAATGTGTAAAGCCAGCCCCAGGCAGAAGAGTTTTTCCAGTTCCCAACGCCCGTGATCCTTTTTTTCCTGGGGATGCCAGACATCAAACTAGTCAAGTACATGCTCTACTGCTGAGCAACGGATCTGCAGACAAACGCCTGATCTAAAGGAAATAACTTGGCTAAACTTTAGCAAGTCAGGATCTGAGCAGCGCCTGGGAAATGCCTTGGACCTCCTACATATGTGTTTCTCCGTTCCATGGTAGACTGCGTCTGAACCTGGAGGTACCACTAAGCTGCCATAACCAAGAGCTGCTTGAGAAAAGAAAAGAATAAAAGCTATCAAGGCCATCGTCAAACCCCCAGGAGATGCTTCGTCCTTTACATGGCAGCCAGTCCTGACATGAACATTCTGCTACAACAGGTATGTTTAAAGTCAGGCCCAGGGACCTAATCCAGCCCGTCTGCTGGTTTAATGTGGCCCCTGGGGCAGTTCTCATGTTCACTTCATCAAATCTGGTCCTCCTTGGAAAAAGTTTGGACACCCCTGTGCTACAAGAAACCTATAGCAGGGAGGGGAGATATAAAGGTAAAGGTACCCCTGCCCGTACGGGCCAGTCTTGACAGACTCTAGGGTTGTGCGCCCATCTCACTCAAGAGGCCAGGGGCCAGCGCTGTCCGGAGACACTTCCGGGTCACGTGGCCAGCGTGACAAAGCTGCATCTGGCGAGCCAGCGCAGCACACGGAAACGCCGTTTACCTTCCCGCTAGTAAGCGGTCCCTATTTATCTACTTGCACCCGGGGGTGCTTTCGAACTGCTAGGTTGGCAGGTGCTGGGACCAAGCAACGGGAGCGCACCCCGCCGCGGGGATTCGAACCGCCGACCTTTTGATCGGCAAGCCCTAGGCGCTGAGGCTTTTACCCACAGTGCCACCCGCGTCCCAAGCCACTAAATGAGCGTTTGCCACAGGAGAACCCACAACTGGACAAGTGTTCAGGGATGCACGTTTTACTAATTTCTGGCAAACTGAACCACAATTTTACCCTTGTAGCTTTAAGGAAGGCCCACAGGTCAGGGGGGGAGAGCCTTTTTCAGTCTGAGGGCCACAATCCTTCCTGCGCAACATTCCAGGGGCCACATGCTAATGATGGGCAAATCCAGAGGCAGAAGTGGGTGGAGTAACAGAAGTCGATTCTACTTCTGTGCAGTGAGCTGATTTCTACAGGACACATTTCTCTCTCTCTCTCTCTCTCTCTCACACACACACACACACAAACTCCCCTCCATTCCCATCCAGGCAATTAAGAGGCATGGTCAGGGTTCAAGGACACATTCCAGCCGGCCCAAAACTCTTGCGGTGTGAAGCCCGGCTTGTGAATGGTGTGTCCTGGAAATAAGGGTGGAACTGGAGAAGGTTTCAGGGGCCAGACAGAAAGCCCTGGAGGAGCGCATTTGGCCTGTGGGCTGGAGGTTTCCCACTTTTGCCACAGCTGATAAAATGCCCATTCTGCACAGCTCTTCAAGATGCAGAGTCCAGGAACTGCAAAGGGGACTTACAGGAACAGGTCAAACCAAGGCAGCAGGGCAGGTATCAGGGGTCAGGAACTACGTTTGAGGGGTGCAGTGCTTACATGGCTCCACTTCTGACCCACAGAGGTCTGGGGGCCTGATTCCACCCCTCTTGCTTGCTCCTACAAGCTCTCCTCCACCAGCCCTCTTTAGATGCTGGGGCCTGATTCCACCCCTCTTGCTTGCTCCTACAAGCTCTCCTCCACCAGCCCTCTCCTCCACCAACCCCCAGGAGATGCTTCGTCCTTTACATGGCAGCCAGTCCTGACATGAACATTCTGCTACAACAGGTATGTTTAAAGTCAGGCCCAGGGACCTAATCCAGCCCGTCTGCTGGTTTAATGTGGCCCCTGGGGCAGTTCTCATGTTCACTTCATCAAATCTGGTCCTCCTTGGAAAAAGTTTGGACACCCCTGTGCTACAAGAAACCTATAGCAGGGAGGGGAGATATAAAGGTAAAGGTACCCCTGCCCGTACGGGCCAGTCTTGACAGACTCTAGGGTTGTGCGCCCATCTCACTCAAGAGGCCAGGGGCCAGCGCTGTCCGGAGACACTTCCGGGTCACGTGGCCAGCGTGACAAAGCTGCATCTGGCGAGCCAGCGCAGCACACGGAAACGCCGTTTACCTTCCCGCTAGTAAGCGGTCCCTATTTATCTACTTGCACCCGGGGGTGCTTTCGAACTGCTAGGTTGGCAGGTGCTGGGACCAAGCAACGGGAGCGCACCCCGCCGCGGGGATTCGAACCGCCGACCTTTTGATCGGCAAGCCCTAGGTGCTGAGGCTTTTACCCACAGTGCCACCCGCGTCCCAAGCCACTAAATGAGCGTTTGCCACAGGAGAACCCACAACTGGACAAGTGTTCAGGGATGCACGTTTTACTAATTTCTGGCAAACTGAACCACAATTTTACCCTTGTAGCTTTAAGGAAGGCCCACAGGTCAGGGGGGGAGAGCCTTTTTCAGTCTGAGGGCCACAATCCTTCCTGCGCAACATTCCAGGGGCCACATGCTAATGATGGGCAAATCCAGAGGCAGAAGTGGGTGGAGTAACAGAAGTCGATTCTACTTCTGTGCAGTGAGCTGATTTCTACAGGACACATTTCTCTCTCTCTCTCTCTCTCTCACACACACACACACACACAAACTCCCCTCCATTCCCATCCAGGCAATTAAGAGGCATGGTCAGGGTTCAAGGACACATTCCAGCCGGCCCAAAACTCTTGCGGTGTGAAGCCCGGCTTGTGAATGGTGTGTCCTGGAAATAAGGGTGGAACTGGAGAAGGTTTCAGGGGCCAGACAGAAAGCCCTGGAGGAGCGCATTTGGCCTGTGGGCTGGAGGTTTCCCACTTTTGCCACAGCTGATAAAATGCCCATTCTGCACAGCTCTTCAAGATGCAGAGTCCAGGAACTGCAAAGGGGACTTACAGGAACAGGTCAAACCAAGGCAGCAGGGCAGGTATCAGGGGTCAGGAACTACGTTTGAGGGGTGCAGTGCTTACATGGCTCCACTTCTGACCCACAGAGGTCTGGGGGCCTGATTCCACCCCTCTTGCTTGCTCCTACAAGCTCTCCTCCACCAGCCCTCTTTAAGGACCCAATCAACAGCATGGTTTGCATGGATTGGGCCTAGAGGGGAATTATAGAATCATCCTAGTCCAACCCTCTCCCATGCAGGAATCTCAACATACAGTCTCCCATCCAGTTTGAAACCATACCAGATCCTGCTTAGCTTTGCAAATGTGCCAGCTGCACCACCATAAGGTTTGCATGGATCGGGCCTAGAGGGGAGAGAAAAGCAAGGGGACATCAGCGGAAAGGGGACAAGTCCACTTGGGGAGGGGGCCCACCAATGACAGTATCCACCTGTCCTGCTGCTTACTACTACATCAGAGCTGCCACCAGTCTGAAAGAGCCTGCAGAACAGTGTGGTGCAGTGGTTAGAGAGCCGGACTAGGACCTGGGTGACCAAGGTTCATCTCCGCTCATTGGCCATGAAGTTCACTGGGTGACCTTGGAGGCCAGTCTCTGTGTATCAGACTCGCCTACCTCACAGGGCTGTTGTGGGGATTAAATAAGGAGGAGGGAAAACATGCACGTCCTTGGAGGGAAAGGTGGGGTATGAATGCACCAAGGAAAATAGTAGTAATAATAATAATAATAACAAACCCTCTGAGCATCTAGACCTGATACAGGTGGCAGAGATACTGCCAGCAGAAGCTGCAAAAGGCTGGGGTCCTGGGTCAAGGTGCACTAGTGCTTATGCAAACTTTGCAAAGCTGCTCAGAGAACAGGGATGCAAAGCCAGGCACAGCTGCAAATTAATAAGTTGGGGGGTGGCAGGAAGAAACACAGGCCTTTGACAATTTGGGTGACAATTCAGATGATGAACTAAGGGGAAATGAGGCTACTCTCAGCAACTCTCAGTGGCTACTACCAGCCACAATGGCCCTGACCTCCCTCTCCTGTCCAGGCATATCTGCCTCTGTGTACTAGCTGCTGCGAACGGCAAGCAGGGAGAGTTGTCGACTTGCAGACTTCCCACAATAAGGCATCTCCGGCCGGCCACTGTGAGAACAGGGTGCTGGCCGAGATGGGCCCCCTTCGGCCTCACCCAATAGCCCCTGCTGATGCTCCCAAGTCAAAGCGCCGCATGGCGCCTGTCTCATGCGTGACGAACACGTGGATCTGGTTCTCTCTCCCTCCCCCCCCCGCACCCCACATTTCAACCACGCGTGGCAAAAAGAGGCCCACCCCCACCAAAGCCTCGCCTTCTGGGTTCCCAACAGGACTGGACGGGGGACTTGGGTGGGGGGAACCCTTCCAATCAGCTGTTCCAGGAGGCACCTTCGGGGTCTCTCTCTCTGGTGCCTCTCCCCACCTTCCCAAGAGTCCACAGAGACGGTTTTATTTTTAACTATCCCTGCAAAGGCAGCCACGACAAGAGGGAGGCTGTATCCACGGACGGCCTCCTTCTGGTGGGGGGGGGGGAGAGAGGCAGAGGGATCTATCGTTCTGTTAATGAGCAAGGAGAAAACCAGGAAGGAAAATTGCCCTAACGAGGGCAAGGATGGGGGAGATCTCCTTCTCTTCCCTCCCCCCTACTAAAAAAGAAAGAAAGCCAGCGACACCTTTAGGCACCTGCAGGACGCGCAGCCTCCGTGGCGCGCGCTTTCTCTCTCTCTCTCGTACACACAAACACACTCACAGCTACGACCAGGAACCCCCCCCCTTCCGCGTCTCCCCGCGCGCCCCTCGGTGGCATAGCCTTCGAGGGCCCGGACTGGGGATGGACGGGGCGGAGTGGGGGCGAGAGAAGCGCCCCCTTCCCTCCTGAGCTCCAGAGTCCCCCATCCCCGCGTCCGTCCATCCATCCCTGGACGACCCCTCACTCTCAGCCCCCCACCCTCTTGCCAGCCTGCCTGCCTGCCTCTCCGGGCCGCGCCTCACCTCCAAGGTGCGGATCTCCTTCTGCGTGAGGTCGTTGGACGTGGCGCATTTGGTGCGCAGCCCCTCCAGGTTGGAGATGCTGATGTCGATCATGTTCTGGACGAGCTCGCACTGCTGCAGCGCTTTCTGCAGGCTCAGCGGCGGCGGAGGGGGCGGCGGGGGCGGCGGCGGAGGGGGGGGCAGCAGCAGCGGCGGCGGCGGGGGGTGGCCGGGGGCCGGCACGGCGGCCTCCTCCATGGCTTGCCCCTCGGCCGCCTCTTCCTCCTCCTCCTCCTCCTCCTCCTCCTGGATCAGGGGGATGCGGCCGCCGGCCCGATCCCCCCAAGCGGCGGCAGCGGCGGCGGCGGCGGCGCCGCGGCCGCCCCCTCCTCGCCGCCCCCACCGCGCCAGACCTTCCCCGGTGCCGCCTCGCCCGCGCGCTCGCTGCCTCGCTCGCTCGCGATCGCCCGCCCGGCTGTCAAGCCTCCTCCATGCGAGCCTGGGCGATCTCTCCGGCAGCGGCGGCAGCGGCGGCAGCGGCGCCTCCTCCCGGGGAGGGGTTGGGGCGGGGCGCGCCGGAGCCCCGGGGGAGCCCCTCGGGGCGTTCACACGGCAGCTCCACGGGCGACGCGCGGTTTCCTTCGCCCAGCGCTCGCTGGCAGCCTGGATCGGGGCTGGGGGCTCTTCTTCGCCCGGCCCGCAGCCTTCGCTCCGCCCGGCTCCCGCATCCACACACGCGCGCACACACGCAGGCGTCCTGCCTTGTCAATCCGCGCGGCCGCGACACGCGAGGAACGGTTGCGGCGCACGCCTCGCCTGGACGGCCCCCCAGCCCAGGAGACGCGTGTCCCCGAGACGGCTGGACTCCCGCGAGGGGAGGAGGGGAGTTTTAAAAATATAAACCCTCTATACTCATTTTCCTACATCAGCGTGCTTAGGTCCTGACTGGAGTCATCAAGGGGTGGAGGGAGTTTCTCTGAACATGTGCAGAGGGCCGCAGTGTTTCAGTTACTTAGGTCTGTGGTTTTTCCCCCCTGCATCTATAGCTCATCTTTTATCTCCATGGAGCTCAAGGCGGCGATTCTTCCCTCCTCCCCCCCCCCATACACACACTTTCATCCACCCAACAACCCTGAGAGGCAGGTTAGGCCGAGAGAGGCGGTGACTGGCTCAAGGGCAGCCCGCGATCTTCATGGTTGCGTGAACCCTGGTCTCCCAGTCTGGCGCTCTAACCACTACACCACACTGTCACCTTGGTTATTGTTTTGTAGGCGGTTTGGCGGTTTCTAAGGAGACGTGGACCAAAGGTCTGCCTTTGTGAAAGGAAGTTTCATCCGTTGATATGGATGGAAAAGCCAAGGTATCCCTGTATCTCTTAAAAAAAAAATACCCAGGTGTTGGTGATTGAACCTGCATTTGGGGTTGTTTGCCTTCCCTTGTCCCACCTTTCCACCTGGCCAGTCCAGCTAATCAACACATCTGGGAAGAAATACAAAAGTGGAACCAATCACAGCTCAGGGGTAGAGCACAAACTTCATCTATTGAAGGTCCCAGATCCAACTCCCGAAAAAGTTGGGAAAGATCATTATCTGAAACTCTGGGGAGCCGCTTCCCATTGGTGTAGACCTGGTGTGTAGAAACTTCGCCCGCCCGCCGCCCGCCGCCCCATTTCTCTGTTCTTATATTGGGTTGGTGAAGGTCTGTAGGATGGTGGAGCACCTGCTTTGCACATAGAATGTCCCAGGTCCAATCCCCAGGCTCTCCAGGTCGTGCTGGGAGAGACACCTGACTTCAATCCTGAAAGCTGCTGCCATTCTATGCCTCCACAGCCAGAAGCATTCTGCCTCTGAATACCAGTCGTTGAGGATCACAGGTGAGGGAATATGAAACAATTTTGCAAAAATGGGTGACTAGAAATCAGGTCTTATCTTATAGATCTCCATTGGGATCATGTCTTCTCCTGGAGCTTTATTAGCTAGTTGGCTTGCGATTAGCCTCTTAATCTGATTGGACGTGACGTCTGGCCATTCTGGCAGTTCTAATAACTGAGTAAACTTGTGGGGGTGAGTCAGGACAGGGGCCATATATTCCTGTAAAATATGTCACCCAAACCTTTCCTTGGACAGATGCTTCTAACGAGTAGCCCAGCCCATTTGTACCTTGGGCAACCAGATGGCAAAATTTCCGTGAGTCCTTTTGAAGTGCTGCGTCTCCCAATGCTTTCCACTGTTGTTCATAATATATTTGTTTCTTGCTTTTAAGTAATAATTTATAATTGTATCGTAATTGGGCTACCTCGGCTTGTAGAGCAAGATTGTGCTTATCCTGTTTTAACTTCAATTTTCTAAGTTCCCTAGCTAGGCATTTTTTTGCTATTCTGACATTCCTTATCAAACCAAGTCTGTCTTTTAAACTTTTTGTTTTTACAGGTGACGGAATATGTGGTCAGCATCAGCTGAAGACAGAAGCAGCTGTGACTGGTACCCATTAGGACTTTACAGAAGAAAGCAGGGAAGTCAACAGCAGGCAGATCCAGTGACAGGTGGAGCCAACTGATGCTAGTTTTGTCCCCTTCTTCCTCAGTGCCTCAAGGGCAACACGGAGACTGAGGAGGAGAAGGAGAAGGAAGTTGACAGGCAGGGCTGCCAGCCTGGACTGGTTGTAAGCAAGAAGGCAGGCAGGTGAGAGCTGGCTGAGGGCAGGCCAGGGTGGTGTCCCATGTGCCCAAATGGACTTGCCTCCACTGCATTAGGGGTTTTTAGCTGTAATGCACGGAAGGTCTCTCTGGACAGACATCCCATTAGGGAAAGACATCCACATGTGAAAAAATGAAAAAATGAAAAAATTCTGGGACATGATTTATAACGAAATGAAAAAACTTTTTAAATACACTTTCCCAAAGAAACCAGAGGCTTTTTTGCTAGGGATAATAGGGGATGAATTAAGAAAAGAGGACCATAAATTATTTATGTACACCACGACAGCCGCTAAGATTCTAGTGGCTCAAAAATGGAAAACCCAGGAAATCGCAACTTTAATGGAGTGGCAGACGAAAATGTTTGAATACATAGAATTGGCGGAAATGACCTATAAGATTCGGAACCAAAAAGTAACGAAGTTCGAAGAGGAGTGGAGTGGAGTAAATTTGTTGAGTACATACGGAATAATTGTAGAAGCTTCAAGACTGTAGCAGGGTTAATATAAATCTTGTGATGTGGATAGAGTGTAAATAAGAATCTGTAAGAGAGGATGTTAATTGTGAAAGCCGATGTAGGGAGGGAAGTCCCTACATGCGCATGGTAAATAAGTAGACACAAAAATGTTGACTGTAAGAGTATATGCTTTATTTATTTTTGTTTTGGAAAATCAATAAAAAGCATTTTTTTAAAAAAAAGGGGGGAAGCATTTCCATGCAGAAAAGTGTTTCTAAATCATGCCTTGCTGATGCATGTGGGCGTACTGGAAATCGCAGGTGGGCAGAGCTGTTGCGCTCAGGTTCTGCTTGCAGGATTTCCCAGTGGGACATCTTGTTGGCTACTGTGAGAACAGGATGCTGGACTATATGGGCATTTGGCTTGATCCATCAGGGCTCTTATGTTCTTACTTGGTACAAGGCATCTCTCTATGTTCTCTGTCTTAACATCACTTGCTTTAAAAGGGCAATGCTACTTTGGGGAAGGGCCATAGCTCAGCGGGAGAGCATCTGCTTTGCATGCAGAAGTTCTTGGGTCCAATCCCCAAGAAGCATCTCCAGGTGGGACTAGAAAAGAACCCTGCCTGACAGCTTGGAAAGCCACTGCCAGCCAACACAGGCAATATTGTGGTAGATGGACCGATGGTCTGACTCAGTATAATGCAGCTTCCTATGAAAGCCCTACCTGGGGATGCCAGGGATTGAAACTGGACATTCTGCATTGCATTCAAAGCAGGTGATCTCTGGCTGAGCTTTGCCAGTCCTTGGCATTTGGATGTCTTAGGCAAAACAACGAAGTGCCAAGGTGCACAGTGCCAAGGACAGCCAGCTTGTTCTGGCACCAAAGGCAGAAGATCCCACACACGCATCTGTTCCTGGAAGCGAAAAAGCCACCAACAATAAATGAAATAACTAATAATTTGCTGCCTCCTCATGACATCCAACATCAGCTGCCTGAGTGGATTGCCTCACTCTGCTTAATGGTAGGATGGCATAAGCTGCATGTGACTTATGGGAGAGGCTGTAGCTCAGGTGGTTAAGCACCTGCTTTGCATGCAGAATGTCTCAGGCGTTTTGCCATCTCCAGGTACTTCAAAGAGGGAAAGTCCATCTGAAACCCAGACAACATAGTGACCTAGTGACCCAGTGGAGGTGGTTTCCATTGCGCCAAATGGAGCACCATTCCACCAACTTCTTCCTGCCCTCGCATGCCTGCCTTCTTGCTTACAAGCTGTCAAGGAGGTGTGTCTGCATCTCCTTAGTCTCAGCATTGCCCTATGCTATGGTAGAATCTACACACACATGAAAAGAGGCTTTGAAAATGATAAATATAGCTTTGAAAAATACATCAAATTTGGCATAGCTCACTGTCACCATCTAGTGTCACATTTGTACATTGCACTTTACAACACATTTAAAACGTTTTATTTGCAGCTGTATAGCTGAGTCCTAGAACACCACAGTGAGCGGGAGGTGGGGAACAAACCCAGAATGAGTTGGCTCTGCCTCCTTCTTGAGTGAGCTCCATCATTTAACTCTGCACAGCAGGAAGAAGTGCTTCCTGTTTTCTGACCCAGTCTCCAACATTCAGTTTAATTGGGATGCCCACAAGTTCTAGTGTTATGAGCAATGGAGGAAAAGTTTTCTCTATCCACGTTCTTCATGCCATGCATAATTGTATAATTGTATGTCACCTCTTAGTTGCCCTTTTTCTAAACTAAAAAGTCCCAAATGCTGCAACCTTTCCTGGAGTTGCTCCATCCCCTTGATCCTTTGGGTTGCTCTTTCCCGAACTTTTTCCAGCTCTAAAAAAACGTTTCTGATGTACGGAAACCTCCCCACTCCTGCTACAGACAATACTGAGCTAGATGGACCAATAGCCTGATCCTGTAGAAACCAGCTTTGCAGAATGTATGCTTTCAGATGCACAGATCTTCAAACTATTTGGAAAAGGTCTTCCTGGCCAAACAATATAATGTCCAGGAAGG